GCAGAGGAGGACAGGAAAGCTGGTGATAGGGAACCCAAGGTTGAGTAAGGACAGTGTTGACATGTAGTGGGGTTCTTAACCATTGTCATAGGGCAATATGTGTGCTAACTGTTTAATGAGAAACTATTTTGTCCTGTAAAACTTCATCTAAAGTGAGAATAGCAGCACAACTGGAAGAATGAAATCAATGTCACTGAATTGTACATGTAGAAATTTTTGAAACGATTTATCTTTGTGTGATGGTTAACATTGAATGTCAACTTGGCTAGGCCTTTTTTCTCAGTGTTTGGCAGTTGTATAATGTTGTGATCACCGCCAGATTGGAATCTGCTGAGTGGTACTGGTGGAGGCGGGGCCTGTGGCAGCTCACTGCAAAAGCATGAAACAAGACCCTTACTTCACACTATGCAGAAAAACTAACTCAAAATGGATCAAAGAACCTAAATATAAAATCTAAAACGATAAAGATCATGGAAGAAAAAATAGGGACAATGCTAGGAGCCCTAATACACGGCATAAACAGAATACAAAACATAACTAACAATGCACAAACACCAGAAGAGAAACTACATAACTGGAAGCTCCTAAAAATCAAACACTTAGCTCATCAAAAGACTTCACCAAAGAGTGAAAAGACAATCTACAGACTGGGAAAACATTTTTGGCTACGACAAATCCTATCAGTGTCTAATCTCTAAAATCTACAAGATACTGCCAAATTTCAACCACAAAAGACAAATAACCCAATTAAAATACGAGCAAAGGATAAGAACAGGCACTTCACCAAAGAAGACATTCAGGCAACTAACAGATACATGAGGAAATGCTCACACTCATTAGCTATTAGAGAAATGCAAATCAAAACTACAACGAGATAACATCTTATGCCAACAAGGCTAGCATTAATCCAAAAAACACAAAATAATAAATATTGAAGAGGTTGTGGAGAGAATGGAACACTTAAACAATGCTGGTGGGCGTGTAAAATGGTTCAACCACTTTGGAAATCAATTTGGCACTTCCTTAAAAAGCTAGAAATAGAAGTACCATACGATCCAGCAATCCCACTTCTTGGTATATATCCTAGAGAAATAAGAGCCATCACACAAATAGATATATGCACACCCATGTTCATTGCAGCACTGTTCACAATAGCAAAAAGATGGAAACAACCTAGGTGCCCATCAATGGTCAAATGAATAAACAAATTATGGTATATTCACACAATGGAATATTATGAAATGATAAAGAACACTGAATCCTAGAAACATCTCATAACATGAATGAATCTGGAAGGCATTATGCTAAGTGAAATTAGTCACGAAAGGAAAATATTGTATGAGACCACTATTACAAGAACTCAAGAAAAGGTTTAAACACAGAAGAAAACATTCTTCGATGGTTATGAGGGTGGGGAGAGAGAGAGAGGTGAATTCACTAACTAGATAGTAGACAAGATTTATCTTATGTGAAGGGAAGGACAACACACAATACAGGCTAAGTCACCACAACTGGATTAAACCAAAAGCTAAAAAATTTCCTGAACACAACCAAACACTTTGAGGGACAGAATAGCAGGGGCAGGGGTTTGGGGACCATGGTTTCAGGGGACATATAGATGAAATGGCATAACAAAGTTAGTTAAGAAAATGTTCTGCATTCCAGTTTGGTGAGTGGTATCTGGGGTCTTAACAGCTAGTGAGTGGCCATCTAAGATGCATCTATTGGTCCCAACCCACCTGGAGCAAAGGAGAATGAAGAACACCAAAGTTACAAGGAAAATATTAGCCTAAGAGACAAAAAAGCCCACATAAGCCAGAGACTCCATCAGCCTGAGACCAGAAGAACTAGATGGTGCCTGGCTACCACCAATGACTGCTCTGACAGGGAACACAACAGAGAGTCTCTGATGGAGCAGGAGAAAAGTATGGTGCAGAACTCAATTTCTAGTAAAAAGACCAGACTTAATGGTCTGACTGAGACTGGAGGGACCCCAGAAGACATGGCGCCTGGACTCTCTGTTAACCCAGAACTAAAACCATTCCTGAGACCAACTCTTCAGACAAAGATTAGACTGGACTATAAGTCATACAATGATACTCGTGAAGAGTGTGCCTCTTAGTTCAAGTAGATACACAAGACTAAATGGGCAACTCCTATCCAGAGGCAAGATGAGAAAGCAGAAAGGGATAGGAGCTGGTTGAATGGACACGGGAAATCCGGGGTGGAAAGGAGGAGTGTTCAGTCACATTATAAGGATAGCAACTAGGGTCACATAACAATGTGTCTATAAATTTTTGTATGAGAAATTAACTTGATCTGTAAACTTACACTTAAAGCACAATAAAAAAATTAAAAACATAAAAATATTTTTAGATTAAAACAGTATAAAATGAAGTATGACTGTCATCTGTAGTCCTACTAGGAAACTGCCAGAAAAATATGTTCTCAGGAAATCATGTGAATCGAATCATGAATCCAAGTTCACAAATTCTAATATGCTTATCTCTTTATGGTTTGGTGATATTCCCTCTATAACATGTCATTCATCATTCTATACTTGTCTGCTGGGTGGGTGCCCAGAGTCCCATAGCTTGCTCTCTGTCTCTTTGCAGGAATGGCACTGGGACCCTTCGTTGCTATCCTCACGGGCGGCTTCATCAGTCAAGTCATTGGGTGGCCTTTTGCCTTTTATATCTTTGGTAAGCTGTTATCTTCTAGTTTCCAGTTGTCAATATTCAGAAAAATTCTTCTGAGTATCTGTATTTACTTTTCTGGAGGAAATTAGTCAAGAAAGAAGAATCCTTGAGTAATCCTAGAAAACAAAATATGTAAATATATTATTAGGGAATAATTGACCTACACCATCTAAGAATTCTGAAGTTCTCTTATCTATTATAATGAGTTATTAACTTTATTTTTAACACAAAGTGATCACAAATACTCTGCTGTCTTTGCAAGCAGTGGGGGACTGGCTTGCCGAGCAGTGATTTGTGAGAGATGGAAAAAAGAAGTCCAATGATATAGGTATTGCTATGGGTTTGTCTCAGGTTAGGCCAAGCAATGAGGGGGTGCTACTTAAGGCTTAAGTTTCCTAAAGGCTCTGGATACCTGGATGACAGAAGACATTAAAGAAATAAAAAGAAGGGAAGTTGAAGACACATTTTTACCAAATAATGCAGAAAAATGTGGAGAAAATAAAAATATAGGGAGAGAAACAAAACAAAAAACGTAATAAAATGGTAGACATAAATCCAACCATATCAAGAATTACATTAAATGTAAATGGTTTTCACACACCAGTTAAAAGACAGAGAATTTGGATTGGATAAAAATGCAACAAAACTATATCCTGTTTTAAATTTAAAGACATGAATACTTACCAAGTAAAACAGTGAACAAAGATGGACCATGAAACACTAATCAAGTTAAGTCTGGGGTGAATATATTAATATCAGACAAAGATAACTTCAGAACAAGGAACATCATCAGGAAAAAAAATAGACAGTATATAAAGATGAAAGTGTTAATTCACCAAGAAGATACAACAATCCAAAATGTATATGTACCTAACATCGTAGTTTCAAAATATACTAAGCAAAAACTGACAGAACTGGAAGGAGAAATAGACAAAACCACAATTCACAATGGATACATAAAAATTCTTCTCTATTGTATTAAGTAACAGAATAAGAAGACAGAAAATCAAAAGGAATATAGAAAATCTCAAAAATACTAAAAACAAATTTTACTTAATTGATAATTATAGTACACTACACTCAACAACAGTTGAATAGAGACTCTTTTTAAGTGTGCTTCAAACATTTACAATGTTGTTGTTGTTAGGTGCCATCAAATGGGTTCCAACTCATAGCAACCCTATGTATAACAGAATGAAACACCTCCTGGTCCTGCCCTGGTGGTGCAGTAGTTAAGCACTCAGCTGCTAACTTAAAGGTCAGTGATTCGAACCCACCAGCCACTCAGCAGGAGAAAGATGTGGCAGTCTGCTTCCATAAATGTTTACAGCTTTGGAAACCCCTATGAGGTAGTTCTACTCTGTATGAGTCAGAACCAGCTCAACAGCAATGGATTTTTAAACATTTACCAAGATAGACAATATTCTGGTCCATAAACAAACTAAAAAATTTAAAAGAATTGAAAATTACACAAAATATGTTCTTTGAACATAATAAAATTAAACTAGAGATCAATAACAGAAAGATATCTGGAAATGCCCCCATACAGATGAAAATTAAACAACATAGTTCCATACTTAATACATCAAAAATATGTGGGATGCAACTCACCAGAATTTACAGAGAAAATTTTAGTGTTAAATGCTTACATTAAAAAAGACTAAAGGTGTCAAATTAATGATCTAAGATTACACCTAAAGAACTAGAAAATGAAGAACTAATTAATTAAACTCAAATCAAGTACAAGGAAATAACTAAAATAAGAGCAGAAGTCAATGAATTCAAAACAAAATGGAAATAATAAGACAATCAGTAAAACCAAAACCTGTTTTTTTGAAAAGATCAATAGCATTGACATATCTTAGCCAAAATGAATCAAGAGGGAAGAGAGAGAGACAAAGAGAGCACAAATAGCCAGTATCAGGAATGGAAAAGGGGACATCAATACAGACCATACAAACATTAAAAATTATTATAAAGAGAGATTATGAAATACTCTATTCCCATAAAATTGATCATTTGGATAAAATTGACAAACTCCTTAAAAGACACAAACTAGTAAATCTCACTTAAGAAGGATGAGATAACTTGAATAGTTCATATATATAGTAAGGAAATTGATTTTGTAGTTAAAGTCATACAACAAAGAAAACTCCAGACTCACATGGATACACTGGTAAATTTCATCAAACATGTACTTAAGAAATTATACCAATTCTACACAAATTCTTCCTGAAAATTAAAGAGAAAACATACTTTCTGACTCATGCTATGAAACCAGAATTACCATAAGAAAACTACCAAACAATATCTCTCATGAACCTGTACACAAACATCCTAAAAAAAAATTTAGCGAGTTTAATCCATCATTTATAAAAAGAATAATGCATCATGTCTAGGGAGATTTATATCTAAAATGCAAGAGTGGTTCAACATTTAAAAAATCGATGTAATTTAGGGGCACATGAGACTTGCAGCAAACATAAAACTCTACCAAGTGTCCACTTCTGCCCAACCTAGAGTAACAGGTACCAGATTTACACTCTGGCCTGAAACAACTAGAAAACAAACAGACAAAAAAACAATTTATGAAACAATTGTTTTCAAGACACTGGATATCATATAACAACAGACAATGATTGATGAGAGGTGAATTCTAGTTCATGACACAACAGAAGGGAACTAGGCAGAGCCCAGCAGAATCCCTGAGTAGAGGAGATAGAGTTTAGAGTCCGGAGAGAGTAAGATAGAGTTCCTAGGAGAAAGTGCTGAAAGGAGACAGATGGCACAGGACTGGGCACTGTTTTTTTCTGTTATACATCTGAACAACTGTTGCTATGTTTGAGCCCACTGTTGCAGCCACTGTGTCAATCCATCTCGTTGAGGGTCTTCCTATTTTTCCCTGACCCCCTACTTTGCCAAGCATGATATTCTTCTCTAGGAACTGGTCCCTCCTTATAACATATCCAAAGTAAATGAGACGAAGTCTTGCCATCCTCTCTTCTAAGGAGAGTTTTGGCTGTACTTCTTCCAAGATAGAGTTGTTCCTTCTTCTGGCAGTCCGTGGTATATTCAATATTCTTTGTCAACACCATAATTCAAAAGGCGTCAATTCTTCTTCAGTCTTCCTTATTCACTGTCCAGCTTTAGCATGCATATGAAGCAATTAAAAATATTATGGCTTGGGTCAGGCACACCTTAGTGCTCAAAGTGACATTTTTGCTCTTTAACATTTTAAAGAGGTATTTTGCTGCAGATTTGCCCAATGCAATACATTGTTTGATTTCTTGACTACTGCTTCCATGAGCATTGATTGCGGATCCAAGTAAAATGAAATCCTTTACAACTTCAGTCTTTTCTCCATTTATCATGATGTTCTTGTTGTTCCACTTGTGAGGATTTTTGTTTTCTTTATCTTGAGGTGCAATCCACTTTGAAGGCTGCAGTCTGTGATCTTCTTCAATAGATGCTTCAAGTCCTCTTGGCTTTCTGTAAGAAAGATTGTGTCATCTGCATATCACAGGTTGTTAGTGAGTCTTCCTCCAATCCTGATGCTGCATTCTTCTTCATATAGTCCAGCTTCTCGGATTATTTGCTCAGCATACAGACTGAATAGGTACTGTGAAAGGATACAACTCTCATGCACATCTTGTCTGATTTTAAACCACGAAGTATCCCTTTGTTCTGCTCAAATGACTGCCTCTTAGTCTATGTACAGGTTCCTCATGTGCACAATTAAGTGTTTTGGAATTCCTATTCTTTGCAATATTATCCATAGTTTGTTGTGATTCACAAAGTCAAATGTCTTTGCATAGTCAATAAAACACAGGTAAACATCTTTCTGGTATTCTCTGCTTTCAGCCAGGATCCATCTAACATCAGCAATGATATTTCTCATTCCATGTCCTCTTCTGAACTTGGCTTGGTTTTCTAGCAGTTCCCTGTGGATGTGCTGCTGCAATTGTTTTTGAATTATCTTCAGCCAAAGTTTACTTGCCTGTGATATTAATGATATTGTTCAATAATTCCCACATTCTGTTGCATCACCTTTCTCTGGAATGGACACAAATATGGATCCCTTCCAGTCGTTTGTCCAGGTAGTTGTCTTCCAAATTTCTTGACATAAACGAGTGAGCATCTCCCCCATTGCATCCATTTGTTGAAACGTCTCCATTGGTATTCTGTCAATTCCTGGAGCCTTGTTTTTCACCATTCCCTTCAGCGAAGCTTGGACTTCTTCCTTCAGTATTGATCATATGCAAACTCCTGAAATGGTTAAATGTCAACCAATTCTTTTTGATCCACTGACTCTGTATTTCTTCTGTCTTCCTTTGATGCTTCCTGCGTCATTCAATATTTTGCCCATAAAATCCTTCAATCTTGCAACACTAGGCTTGAATTTTTTCTTCAGTTCTTTCAGCTTGAGAAATGCTGAATGTCTTCTTTCCTTTTGGTTTTCTAACTCCTGCTCTTTTCACATTTCATTATAATACGTTAGTCTTTTTGAGCTGTCCTTTGAAATCTTCTGTTCAGATCTTTTATTTCATCATTTCTTCCATTCACTTTAGCCACTCTACATTCAAGAGCAAGTTTCTGGGTCTCTTCTGACATCCATTTTGGTCTTTTCTTTAGTTCCTGTCTTTTTAATGACCTTTTGCTTTCTTCATGTATGATGTTCTTGATGCCATTCCACAACGCTTCTGGTCTTTGGTCATTGATGTTCAATGCATCAAATCTATTCTTGAGATGGTCTGTAAATTCAGGTGAGATATGCTCAAGGTTGTATTTTGGCTCTTGTGGTTTTGTTTTAATTTTCTTCAGGTTCTACTTGAACTTGCATATGAGCAACTGATGGTCTGTTCTGCAGCTGGCCCCTTGCTTGTTCTGACTGATGATATTGAGCTTCTCCATCATCTCTTTCCACAGATGTAGTCGATTTGATTCCTGTGTATTGCATCCAGTGAGGTCCACTTGTGTAGTCACCATTTATGTTGTTGAAAAAGGTATTTGCAATGGATAAGTCATTGGTCTTGCAAAATTCTATCATGCGATCTCTGGCGTAATTTCTATCACCAAGGCCATATTTTCCAACTACTGATCCTTCTTCTTTGTTTCCAACTTTTGCATTCCAATCACCAGTAATAATTAAAGCATCTTGATTGCTTGTTTGATCAATTTCAGACTGCAGAAGTTTGTAAAGATTTTCAATGTCTTCATCTTTGGTGTTAGTGTTTGGTGGGTAAATTTGAATAATAGTCATATTAACTGATCTTTCTTGCAGGCATATGGATATTATCCTATCACTGAAAGCATTGTACTTCAGGATAGATCTTTAAATGTTCCTTTTGGCAGTGAATGCTACACTGTTCCTCTTAATTTTTTCATTGAAGAGTGTATGATTATCTCTGATTCAAAATGGCCATAGCAATCCATTTCAGCTCACTGATGCCTAGAATATTGATCTTTATGTGTTCCACTTCATTTTTGATGACTTCCAATTTTCCTAGATTCATACTTTGTACATTCCACATTGCGATTATTGATGGATGTTTGCAGCTGTTTCTTCTCATTTTGAGTCTTGCCACATCAGCAAATGAAGTTCCCAAAAGCTCAGCTCCATCTACTCCATCCACTCCATCCAGCTCTTCCCCAGTCATCTTTTGAGTGCTTTCCAACCTGAGGGGCTCATCTTTTGGCACTATATCAGTCATAAGGTTTTCACTGATCGCCAGATCCTTCTTCCTAGTCTGTCTTAGTTTGGAAGCTCCACTGAAACCTTTCCACCATGTGTGACCCTATTGGTATGTGAAATATTGGTGACATAGCTTCCAGCATCACAGCAATATGCAAGCCACCACAGTACGACAAACTGACAGACAAGAGACTAGATATAGCAGAAGAAATTTGTTCAGCAATTATTTCTTCAAATATTTTATTTTCCTAATCCCTCTCCTCGTCTTTGGGCACTTCACAGCTCACTGATTAGATATATCAGAAGACAAGATTAATGAACTAAAAAATATAGCAATAGAAATCATACAGCAGAAAACATACGAAGAAAAAAATTAATAATAGGATGGACAGAACTTCACAGTTACCTTCACAGTTACCTGTGAAGTGCCCAAAGATGAGGAGAGGTATTGGGAAAATAAAATATTTGTAGAAATAATGGCTGGATAAATTTCCAAATTTAATGAAAACTATAAACACACAGAGTCAAGAAGGCCAATATAAGTCAAGCACAAGAAATATGAAGAAAACCACACCAAGATAAATCATAATCAAATGGCTTGAAACCATAATCAAATGGCTTGATAAAGAGAAAATATTAAAGAAACCAAAGATAAAAGACATGTACAGAGGAACAAAGATAATGATGACAACAGCTTTCTCATTAGAAACAATGCAAGTGAGAACAACATTTTTAAAACATTGCAAGGAAAAATAAAACAAAAACTGTTACCTAGAATTCTATACCTAGATTAAAAAAAAATCTTTTGAAAACAGGCAAAATAAAGTTTTGCAGACATATAAAAGCATTTTCTGTAGTATCAAAAAATATGCAACATGTGGGGATGAGAGAAAAACCTTGTGCACTGAAAACTACAAAACATTGTTGAGAAACATTAAAGATTAAAGACTTAAAGAAATGGAGAGATATATGTTAAGGCTGTTCACCAGTTAGAAGGCTCAATATTTTTAAATAGTAATTCTTCCCAGATTGAGCTATAGATTCATTGCATTGTCAATCAAAATCTCAGCATTAAACTGTGTTGAGAGTCCATTTCTCCTTTTTTTGTATAAATTGTAGGCTTTTTTTGGTAGAAATTGACAAGCTGATTCTAAAATTCATATGAAAATTCAAAGAACATGGAATAGTCAAATAACTTTGAAAATGAATTACAAAGTTGAAGAACTAACACTACCTAATGTCAAGACTGAGTAGTGTTGGCATAAAAATAGACAAATAAGTCGAAGGAACAGAAGAGAGTCATAAATAGATGCATACATATAAGGAAAATTTTTTTAAACAGGTACAAAGGCAACTCAATGATGAAACAGTGGTCTTTTTTTTTTTAATTGTACTTAAGGTGAAGGTTTACAGAACAGTTTCTCGTTAAACAGTCAGTACACATATTGTTTTATGACATTGGTTAACAAACCCACGAGATGTCAACACTCTCTCATCTCAACCTTGGAGGACCTTTTTCTTTTTTTTTGGTGAAAATATACATAGCCAAAGATACACATTTCAAAAATTTCTACATGTACAATTCAGTGACATTGATTTCATTCTTCCAGTTGTGCTGTTATTCTCACTTTAGATGAAGTTTTACAGAACAAAATGGTTTCTCATTAAACAGTTAGTACACATATTGCCTTATGACAATGGTTAAGAACCCCACTACATGTCAACACTGTCCTTACTCAACCTTGGGTTCCCTATCACCAGCTTTCCTGTCCTCTTCTGCCTTCTAGTCCTTCTCCCTGGACTGCTTGTGCCTCACTGGTTCTGTTTTGTTTTATGGGGCTGTCCAATCCCTGGCTGAAGGGTGAACCTCGGGAATGACTTCACCACTGAGCGAAAAGGGTGTCCGGGGGCCATATTCTCAGGGTTTCTCCAGTCTCTGTCAGGCCAATAAATCTGGTCTTGTTTTGTGTGTTAGAATTTTGTTCTACATCCTTCTCCAGCTCTGTCCAGGACCCTCTGTTGTGATCCCAGTCAGAGAAGTCAGTGGTGGTAGCCGGGCAGCATCTAGCTGTACTGGACTCAGTTTGATGGAGGTTGTGTGGCTGTGGTCCATTAGTCCTTTGGACTAATATTTTCCTTGTATCCTGTTCTCTTCATTCTCCCTTGCTCCCGAAGTGGTGAGACCAGTGGAGTATCTTAGATGGCTGCTCACAGGCTTTTAAGACCCCAGATGCTGCTCACCAAGGTAGAATGTAGAACATTGTCTTTATAAACTGTGTTATGCCAATTGAGCCAGATGTTCCCCGAGACCATGGTCCCCACAGCCCTCCGCCCAGCAATTCAGTCCATCAGGGAGTTTGGATGTGTCTATGGAGCTTCCATGACGTTTCCTTGTGCAAGCTGTGCTGGCTTCCCCAGTATTGTGTATGTCTAACCCTTCACCAAGGTTACCACTTATCTATCGTCTATTTAGTATTTCCCCTCCACCCTTCCCATCCCTTGTAACCAACAAAGATTGCTACTTTTTGTGTGTAAACTTTTTCACGAGCTTTTACAATAGAGGTCTCATACAATATTTGTCCTTTTGTAACTGACTTATTTCACTCAGCATAATGTCCTCCAGTTTCATCCATGTTATGAGATGCTTCACAGATTCATCATTGAAGCAATGGTCTTTTTAACAAATGGTACTTAAAATTGGGTACTCATATATGCAAAAAAAAGAATTTGCTCCACACTTCACACCATAGTCAACAACAAAAACTAAATCAAAATGAATCTTAAACCTAAATGTAAAACCTTAAATTATTACACTTTTGGAAGAAAACATAGGAGAAAATCTTTGTCCTCAGGTTAGGCAAAGATTTCTTAGATATGCCCAAAAAAGTCAGATTCATAAACTAAATTGATAAATTGGATTTTATCAAAGTTAAAAACTTTTGCTTTTCAAAAGATTTTAAGATAATTAAAAAAAACAAGTTGAGATGGGGAGAAAATATTTGCAAAATACATGTATGGCAAGGACTTTTATCAAGAATGTATAAATACTCAAAACTCAATAAGAAAACAAACTAGCTAAAAAATGGGCAAAGTATTTGAACAGGTACTTCATCAAAAACAATTTATGGAGGGCAAACACACATTAAAAGATGCTTAACATCGTTTGTTATTAGGGAAATTCAAATAAAAACCACAATGGGATATTTTTACACGTGTTAGAATGGATGATATTAAAAAGACTGAGATACCAAGTACTGCTATTTCTAGAGTCTGTGATTGCCACACACACAAATAAACAAGAAATGTGAAGGAATGGGTCCTAGAAAGTTGAAATATTCACGTTATTATTTTTTTTAATTGAGAAATGGAAAGGGGATATTATGAGCAAGGCCTTTTCCTGGGTTCTATACCAGAGTATGTCCCAATGTAAAAGAAATTCCTGTGGAAGGCAGATATCAGCCCTTTGCCAATTTTACCCTCTGCTTGCAGGAGGTTTTGGCTGTGTCTGCAGTCTTCTCTGGATTGTCCTGGTTTATGATGACCCTGTTTCTCACCCATGGATAAGCATCTCAGAGAAGGAATACATCACATCCTCCTTGGCCCAACAGGTACATATTAGGACTTATACTTTCTCTAGCATCTGGATTTCTCAGGGTGGCTAACAGTGTATGAGCATCTCTCAGATCTTACTGTTCTGATCAGTAAATTTGTTTTCAGGTCAGCGCTTCTAGGCAGTCTCTGCCCATCAAAGATATAGTCAGATCTCTACCCGTTTGGTCCTTAATTCTTTGCTGTTTCAGCTACCAATGGTTAATTACTGTATTGGTTATGTACACACCATCTTACATCAGCTCTGTGTTCAACATTAACATCAGAGATGTGAGTATATTTCCCCTCAGTTTATTCTCCTGTTTTCATGACTCACTGATCATTCTGTCTTCACAAATTGTTCCACCTCGAGAAATTTCTTATTATCAAAGTAACCTAATATTTTATATTCATGCCAATAAGATTGAAGATATGATTGAATACCTTCTGGTGGTATGATTGAAGAGGTTACTGATTTTCCTAAGAAAGCATGGTTTCAGGATGGCAGTACGCTTAGGAGTGATTGATCAGTGAATGTTGTGGTCTCACTGCCTTTATTAACATGGTTTACTCCAATTGTTTTCTTTAGAATGGGATCGTGTCTTCCCTTCCTTTTGTTTTTGCCTGGGCCTTTGGCATCCTAGGAGGCCAAGTGGCAGATTTCCTTCTGACCAAGAATTTTAGGCTTGTTACAGTGAGGAAAATTGCCACAGTTCTAGGTAAGAAAAGAGTCTAAATAATTAATTAATTACCAAGACATAAAACAACCAAAGAATGCATCTCACTATTTAATTTGTCTGTTGTTCATTCCCTAGGAAATCTCCCCTCTTCAACACTGGTTGCTGTCCTGCCCTACCTCAGGTCCAGTTACATTACAACAATAACCTTTCTGTTCATCTCTTGCGGACTAGCCTCACTGTGTCAGTCAGGGATTTCTATTAATGCCTTAGATATTGCTCCAAGGTAGGACTCTACTATATACTCTTATTTTCACATTTTCTGAAAAAGACTTTGCTTTTTGGGGGCTCCAAACATTGGAAAATAGTAAATCATGGGCAAGGACCACATATGGACCTGTGGCCATTTTTCTCAGGCGTGTGTGTGTAGGGAGGTGGGGAGGTGGTGCTACTGATATGTCTTAGGGCCTCTTGTTAAATATAGACAGTGCAAGTCCTTTATGACATAGAGGATGGAATCCCTCATGGAATAGGACTGAAGGATATTGTCAAGCATCTCTGCATCTAGCTTGGAACATTCTCTTCACCCACAGACATTCCAGTTTTCTCATGGGAGTCTCCAGGGGATTTGCACACTTAGCTGCTGTCCTGGTACCCACTGTCAGTGGATTTATCCTCAGTCAGGTAAATTTTCATGTCAAGAAGGACTTTTAAAATGCCTTTCCAAATTCATTTTTAAAGTTAATACTATGAACAACGTATTCAAAGATTGTAAAATAAAGTTAAATTGTCATTGTCTTTGTCATGAAGATCAAGCTGGTAAAGAAAGAAAAACATGTTATTGTAGTTGTTATTTGTTGCCGGCGAGTCAATTCTGACTCATGAAGACTTCATGTGTTACAAACTATAACTGCTCTGTAGGGTCTTCTTGGCTATAATCTTAACAGAAGCAGATTGCCAGGGCTTGTCTTCTGTAGTACCACTAGGTGGGTTCAAACTACCAACCTTTAGGTTAGCAGTCAAGTGCAAACTGTTCATTCCACCTGGGGACCTAAAGAAAAATATAGAACAATTATTTGGTGATTTCAATGTTGGCTCATTCTGGAAGCAAAAGAAGGACTAACCAGTGATGCACTGGTGATATACAGCCTTTGAACTTGAAACCACAGAGCCATGTAGGTATCTTGGGATGATGATTCAATTTATAAATGCTGCTTGCCTTGTGTTCTGTATCATTTTGCAATTTTCATGTGCATAACCATGCAAAAGAGAAAGGATAATGAAAGTAAACATTTTTAAGTGCTGATACATTCAGGCATTGTTATAGGTGTTTCATATGCAGTCAACTGATTTAATTGTTAATTTTCACACCAATTGGGAAGATGGATTATTATCATCCTTATTTCCTGATGACTAAACTGAAAATTTGATAGGATGAGTCTTTCTGCTAAAAGGACGTTTGTACAATCCAAATTCTTCTTAGACCTGTCTAACTCCAAAGCCCATAGTCTTTTCGCTAAACCATTGCAATGTAAGAAGAATCTTGAAAGCATTTTTAGCATAACTGATATAGACAAGATTCATGCAAAATAGAAAATGTATGCCTCTTTTATAGTGACAAATCCAATTCTGTAGGTTAATCACAAAGGTTCACAAACCTCTTTTATTAAGAGTATTCCAAGTGCATTTTAAAATTCTTCTTTCCATCAAACTATCAAGACACTTTCAGGCAATGAATTTCTACACAGAAACCCAAGAGGGAACGTTGTGTTCTGAACTGTTAATAAGACATTTCATAGAAAAAAGGATGAAAGGGGTAATATTTACTTGGGGCTTTGTGTCCCCAGGACCCTGAATTTGGGTGGAGGAATATCTTCTTCTTGTTGTTTGCCATTAACACGTTAGGACTGATCTTCTACATCATATTTGGAGAAGCAGATGTTCAGGACTGGGCTAAAGAGAGGAAAGTCACTCGTTTATGAAGGTAAAGAATAATGCTTTCATCTATGATTACAACCACAGAACATTATTTAAGTTTTTTAATTCCATGTCATTTTCATTTCTTAGTTATTCTACCTTGGATGGAAAAGCCATTAGGCACCTTATTTCATAAATGGAAAGGATTCAGCGATGAAAATACCCATGGAAAAAATGTTGTTTTTTTGTGGCTCTTTTCAAATATGAGATAAGTCCTTTCTTTTACTCAGATTTCTTTTTGAGGGAAATACAAGATGAGTGAAAATTCAAATAAAATGATAACCAAGAACACAGTTGTCAGCTTCATAGAATTAACAATGGACTCAGAGGGGTTGCTGTGTGGGAGCAAAGATGCCAGATTCACAGTTTCTGGACCTGGAAACAAGAATCCATGTTTTCAAACTCTTAATCTAGGATGGCAACTTTGTTAGAGCAATGATTTTTCCTGATTGTGAAAATACTTATCACTTTATATTTTTCTCCTTTGGATATTGTCCATTTGCTTCTCCCTGTGTATGCTCCAAACTTCATCCTGCTCAGGCCCCAGGGGCTGACCTGCGTGAACTTCGTCTCACACTCCCTTATCTACTGGCTCCTGCTGTATTTCTTCTTTTTAATTGGTGTAAAAATATATATAACACAACATTTGCCAGTTTAACAGTTTTTCACATGTAAAATTCAGTAACACCAATTACATTAATCACTTTGTGCAGCAACCATCACAAGTATCTCTTGCCCAATTTTCCCAGGCATGTCTAGATTTCACTGAATAATAGTGACGAAAATAGCTTAGGTTCAACATAAGACAATCCTCACTTTAGCTTTGTGTATACAAGTAAAGAAGTACAGGAAAAACCAATCTAGAGGATGTTGTTCCCAGAAACAGACAAGAAATCTTAAATTACCTATTGCTGTTGACTTGATTCCAGCTTATGGCAACCCCATGTGTTACAGCGTAGAACTGTTCCATAGGGTTTTCTTGGATGTAATCTTTACAGAAGCAGATTGCCAGGACTTTCTTCCATGATGCCACTGGGTTCGAAACACAAACATTTAGGTTAGCATTGCTGTTGTTAGGTGTCATCGAGTTGGTTCTGACTCACAGTGACCCTATAGGACAGAGTATTACTGCCCATAGGGTTTCCAAGGAGCAGCCGGTGAATTTGAACTGCCAACCTTTTGATTAGTAGCTGAACTCTTAACCACTACTCTACCAGGGCCTCTTTAGGTTAGTAGTCAAGTGCAAACCATTTGTGCCACCTAGGGAACTAATTATAGCATGCACGCTCAGAACTCTACCCACATCCCTTCAGATCTCTTTAGCATTTTGTTGCATCTCAGTTCCCAGTGAGCTTTCACGCTGAACAACTGGCACCTATTTCTCCTTATTGGATGATTGCCCTCAGGCTGAAATAAACTATTTTGCCTGTTAGCATGGATGTACCTGGGAATTTACATCCTCCTGGGAGCAGCTCTGGTGATGCAGTGGTTAAAAGCTATGCTGCTAACCAAAGGTTGGCAGTTAGAATCTACCAGCTGCTCCTTGAAAACCCTATGGGACAGTTCTACTCTGTCCTACAAGGTCCAGTGAATCGGAATTGACTCGACAACAAGGGGTTTGAGAGTAGCTCTTAGCCAATGACTCATTGCTACAGGGATATAAATACTACTGCTCTTTGGTTCCTGCTTGGGACATCTCCGGGGGAAACCTACACAGTCTCCCTAAGAATTGAGCTGTACCTTGTTTGATATTCCTTCAAAATCCTAGGATTATGTCATAATACCACCACCTATCTGCTAGTTTGTCATACTGTGGTGGCTTGCATGATGCTTGTGGTGGACAGGTTTTAGCAGAGCTTCCGGACTACGACAGACTTAGAAGAAAGGCCTGGTGATCTACTTCCAAAAATTAGCCAATGAAAACCCTATGGATCACAACACAATATTGTCTGATACAGTGCCGGAAGATGAGTCCTCTAGGTCAGAAGACACTAAAATAGCTTCAACAATGAACTCAAACATACCAAAGATCATGAAGATGGTACAGGACCCAGGAACATTTTGTTGTGGTGTACACAGGCTCGCCATGAGACAGAGTCAACTCAATGGCAACTAACAACAACCAAAACCCAAACCAAATCAGTTGCAACTGTCAACTCAATGGCATTGATTTCAACTTATGGTGACCCTATGTGTATCAGAGTAGAACTGTGCTCCCTAGGGTTTTCAATGGCTGATTTCTCGGAAGTAGATTGCATCCAGGTGGACTTGAAGAACAACAATATGTCCTAATAAATTACTTTCACAGGAATACTCATCTTGGGGTCTGCTTCTGGAAAATCTGACTTCAGCCAGTTGTCTCCACAAGGGGACCTAGGATAAAGACTCTCAGAATAGGCTTCTGGGGTTGGACTATTCACAAGCCAGATGGCAAAGGGACCTCTTTGATACTAGTAAGAACAATGGTAATACCTCTGGCCTGTGGTGACATTAAAATTGCTAAGACTCTCCCCTGTGGTACATTGGAATAGGAAATGGGATATAGGTGGAAGGAAATGCACTGGCTTAGTCAATATCTCTAGCATTTGAGAGATACGGGGGAAATGGCAATTATAAGGACTTTGGAATTGGTAGTTTGTTGGTCAGTACCACAGATGTGCTCAGGCTGGCCAATTACATCAGACCATGGTATAAAAGACAGAAACCCTCCGTGGCAGCATTTAAAGATATCCTCATCTCAGTAGCCAGAAGGCTGACACATTCTGAAGATCAGACTCAAGATTTGATGGTAAGAATAGCAGAAATACAAAGAAGGTTGGATGCAGAGCTACAGTGAGTCTCTTATGCTAAAGTCAAGTCCTAAGTAGGACTGAAATGCCTCATCCTAAGGGAGTGGCCCACTGCCCCATGTTGGAGGATACCAGCCTCCTTTTGTCTGATGATCATGCAGATGGTACAGTTGATACAGATGCCTTGTAAGATAGTACTTGTTTAGTCAAGTTCTATTCTAACTTTGTCTAATACCTACTAGACAAATAATTAGGTCAGGCCTTGGGACAGCTAAGCCGTGTAACATTAGCTCTGCTAAGGGAGGGGAGGGATTATTCACCAACAAAGTGGCAGGGACAAGGAGATCATGCCTGAAGTACTCAACCAAGGTGTTAGGGGAAGAATATAAAGCTAGATAAAGGAGTTTTTTCTTTTTTCTTTTGGTCAATACGTTGTTGTGACTCAGGATATAATGTCATTTAAGTCCAAATGGGAATTCTCAAAATGATCCACTCCTGCCAAATTAAGAATTCAAATTGGCAATACTGTATCCTAGGTGAAATGACAGAGAATAACACTGGAGTCGAGTCAACAGCAACCAACAACAACCAAAACCCCAAACCAAACCAATTTGCAACCATCAGCTTGATGAAGTTGATTCTGACTTATGGTGACCCTGTGTCTGAGTAGACCTGTACTCCATAGAGTTTTTGATGGCTGATTTCTCAGAAGTAGATGTCTCTGATGGACTCAAAAAACAACAACAATATGTCCTAATAGATTACTTTCACAAGAGTACTCACCTCAGGGTCTGCTTCTGGAGAATCTGAAAGTCATTTTTAAAGACTTAAAAGATCCTGGAATGATGGTCACTATTATATTCCCATGCAACTCATCAGGGTAGTCACAGCAAAAATGGACTGTAGTAGATGATGGAGGACTAACATAGATTTAATCCAATAGTAGCCTTATTTGCATATGGGATACCTTTAATAGAACAGAGCAACACAGGTTCTCTCACTTGGTATGAAGCTACTCATCTGGTGAATATGTTCTCTGGGCTTCTCTTGCTGTTACCAGCAAGGAGAGAATTAGTGGCAGAAGTAAATTGATCCTGATTATCATGAGAAGGTTGATTGCTGCTACATAATGGAGACAGTGATAAGCATATCTAGGATCCAGGAGGTCCCATGCATCATTTTAGCCATATGGATAAATACAGCAACCCGAGATAAATAAGAGCATCACCTTAATCCTTCAGGGATGAAATTTTGAGTCACCCCGTTTAGCAGACAACCCAAATCAGCAGAAATGCCGACCAAGAGTAAAGAGAACTTGGAATGGAAGGAGGAAGAGAGATTATGACTATCAATTTAGTTCTTGGGACCAACTGCAGTAACAGAAATACAAACGCTTCACTAACCCTTCTCTTTTCTTCCTGAAGAATCAGTGGTATGAATTTACTATGAGGAGAGAATGGAACTGAATAGTGCAAGGAGTAACAGATGCTGTCAGTGCTTTGCCCATATCCCCTAGAATCCTTTATCTTTTGGTGCACACATACTCCACTTGTGCTTCCACTGCCAACAACAAGCAAATTCATCACTTGGTCTGAGGGTTGACCCTGGGCTACTGGAACCTACTCTGCCTGTATTGAGGCATGAATTCAAAGGCTACCATGAGGTAGCCCTTAGCCAACAATTGATAGGTTGTAGTGGTTGTTGTTAAGTGCTATCAAGTCGGTTCCGACTTATAGCTACCTTATGTGCAACAGAATGAAACACTGCCCAGTCCTGTCCTGTCCTCTCAATTGTTACTATGTTTGACCACATTTGTTGCAGCCATTGTGCCAATTCATCTCATAGGTGATCTTCCTTTTTTTCCCTGACTTACTTTACCAAATATGATGTCTTTCTCCAGGGACCGATCCCTCCTCATAACATGTCCAAAATACATGAGACAAAGTCTCATCATCCTTGCTTCTAAGGGGCATTCTGGCTGTACTTCTTCCAAAACAGATTTGTTCATTTTTCTGGCAGTCCACGGTGTATTCAATATTTTTTGACAACACCATAATTCAAATGCATTAATTTTTCAGTCTTCCTTATTCATTGTCTAGCTTTCCCATGCACATGAGGCAATTGAAAATACCATGGCATGAGTCAGGCGCACCTTAGTCCTAAAGTGACATCTTTGATTTTTAACACTTTAAAGAGGTCTTTTGCAGCAGATTTGC